GCAGCGTTGGAGAGAGGAACGGGGGAGGCCTGGAGCACAGGTCCATCCTGCGGCAGCGGCGTGTCCCTGTGCTGAAGAAGCTGCAGCAACCACTGGGCTGCAGTGACAACTGCCACACCAGCGGCTCAGCAGATGAGATTACTCTCTTGTACCTACTGTTTGGCTTCTAGCTTTCTTTCCAAAAGAAGAAAGAGTTTGAGAGGCTCAAGTGAACAGAGGACCATCAAGGGGGTTAGGAGGCTGAAGTTTATGCAGTCTGGAGAAGGGAAGGCTAAGGATGCTCATGGGGAATCAAACTGCAGGTCACAGTTACCTAAAGCAGCACTAGAGGATGCAGAGTGCATTGCAGATGCACAGTGAAATGTTGAGAAGCAATAGCTAAAAGTTAGAACAGTGAAATTCTGCCTTGGATGTATATTTAAAAAAATAACCAAGCACAAGGTGGTTAAGCACTGAGAACTGCCCAGAGGGGCAGTGGAACCTCCACCCTTAGAGTTATTAAAATTTGAATGGACGATGGCCTGTGAAGATTGCTCTGAGCTTGACACTAGCCCTCCTGTTAGAAGAATGGTCTAGATGACCTCCAGAGGTCTCTTCCTAAATAACTTAATGAAAATTGCAATGAAGTAATTAGCAAGAGTAATATGTATAGCCAGGTGCAGACTACAGATTAGATTAAATGAAACAAAAACAGCAGTATACAATCAGTTTATCACATTTTTTCTATTGTCTAAAGAAGCAACATGAGGATAACAATAACTGTGTATCTACTTGAGGGCAGGTGGCTTCATTAAGCTTATTGGACTGCAGAACATTAGGAAAAAAGTAATAAAATTAATTACTGGTTTTATATTTTCAATATAATGAATCAAGATATACCTTTACAACTAATTAAAAAGAAGGAAAACACTAATATGAATAAGAAATATTCCTATTCCTATTATTTATTACATAAGACCTCTCCTCATGAGGGAGATATTAATGAAGGACAAATAGGTATCTCAGGATATAATCAATGAAATGCTTTCTGAAAGACTGTTAAATTGCTCTCAAGATTGTGAAACCCACATTAGTGGTGCAGTACTTCTGCACAGCGCCAGCTCAAAATTTAAATTCTGGGCATCCTTTCAACTTGTGACTTCTATTCCACTGACAATGGGAAAGCAGCCCTCTGCAAATTATTTATTGAAGATATTCCTCTGTACATTTATTTATAATACTTATCCGATGTCTCTCCAAAAGAGGCTCTGTGGCTGCAAAGTATCCAAGGAAGATACACTGCATTTCTTCACATGTTTCAACCTGGTCATGAAACGATGCCCCTTCTCTCCCCCTGTTCCTGGGAAGGGATGAAGAGGAGGAGGATGGTGCGATGCCCAACAAGCCGAACATAAGCAAGCTCTGGGGTTCTGACAGTGGGAGAAGGGGGAAACAGAAGCAGCCTTGGCTGCTCCAGAGCATTTCCCACCTTCACCCAGCCCAGTGCAAGCTGAACCTCTGTTCCAACAGGCAAGGAAGAATTTGCTTCTCCAGCTTTCCTATGAAAAAGGTTTTTGAAAGGAAGACTATGTCTCTCTTTTTAAATTCTCTCCCTAGCTCTTTTTCATTATTTGTCAAGATTTCTCAATGGGTGCAGCAGACATTCCAATGGAACCTTGTCTCATTTTAGTTTTAGCTGTCTTTAAAAGGCACTGTCAGCCTGACTAGATTCCTGGTTTAGAGGGTAAGAAATATACACTTTTTGCTTAGGGCAAAGCTCTTTTCTCCTTTTTTTTTTCCCATCGATCTAATAATAATTTAAACTTACAATTCTGTCACAATTAGTAGCTGGCTTTTCATGCAAACTGATATATCAACTCTAAGATATAAACAAGAATAACAAATTGAAGAGATGATTGCAGAATGTTAAACGACTGCAGAAGAAAAGGAGAAATTAATAGTCCAAAAGATGAAACACCTTAAATGTTCATCATAACAACACCTAATGATGAAGCACAAGACGATTCAGATGTGGACTGACTCCTGGTGATTTGTCAGAGGACAGACCAGGTAAGTATTCAGACAGTGTAAGCATTCATCACCAGGCACAGAGAACAGTTTGTAGTTCACTGGTTGAAATGACAGGCACAGTCTGGTGGATGGACATGTAAACTCATGAGACGATGACCAACCTTCGGTAAACGCTGAAATTAAACACTAATCCCTCTCCTCCCCAAAAATACCTCAAAATTGATTTATTTTTTATGTAATTATTTTCATCAGCTCATATTTCCCACACATATGATGTTGCAGAATCACTTCATCCCATTTACTGAATATTTTTTACTAGAACAACACTCTTCCTATTGTTAGAACAACCTCAGAATACATTGACAATCTAACCAAGCACATGATAATAATACATATATATAATTTACTCATATCACTGTATATCACTACAGATGATGCAAACACTACATCACAGCTAGAGTGTTTTAAAGGGAAATTGACTGTAAACCAGGGAAAACAACCTACCTCAGCAGTGCTACTGGAAGGTTCCAGTCCAACCATGTTGGCTTCTACTAGCTGTTGAAGAAGTTGTACTTGAGCCACACTGAGGAAGAAATCCAGATTTGTTGTTGCATTTACCTCCAAAGAATGACCACACACTAAAATCTCCTGTAGAGAAAATAACGGAGAATACTAGACAGCAGCTACTAAGTAAATAATTTGCATTATTTGTATAACCATATTTTGATTTTCTGCTTTAGTCAATGCTTCAAGATAGGTATAAAATGTTAATCATGATTTTTTAGGAGACAGTGGTGTATCAGACTTCTAAACGAGGATGTGGCTTATTCTTTCCTTTGCTTTCAACAGCGCGTGTAACCATTAAGACAAATTTTGTAAGGACGTAAAGCATTTCATGTGTGAGGTCTTGTTTCTGTCTCTTGGTAGTATCAAATAGTGGACTGTCAGACTTTGTTTTTTATTCTCTTGGCAAGGAGTGCAAGTCTCCTTCCCTTCCAAAAAAGGATGCACTTTTTTTGGAACATAAACTCTACTTGATTTATAATGAAATCATGTGCTGGAGCTCACTGATAACCAACCTAATTGATTTCTCTTTGCCTGTAAACCACTGTTAATACCTTGGCAGAGTTAGCTGGATAATCACTGTTTTATTGGTGTTATCTAGCACAAGAAAAGCTCTTGACCACTGCTGGCAAGCAATAAAGAGATGAAAAACAGAACCAATCCAAAAGGCTTTCTTAATAAGTAGAAGTACTGCCCCTTTTCATGAAACCATGTGCATAACATTCAAGTTCTTGGTAACCTACAATAGGCTTCTTCTTTCATCAGTGTACAAGGAACAGATAACAGGATGAATTTAAGAAGCAAAAAGATTTTAATTCTTAACTAATTAGTTTTAAATTAATTAATTTTAAAACTAATATTTGTTCAGAGGTTTTTTACTGAATCATTTTCATGCGTCCTAGCAACTCCCAAAGTTATTTCTTTTTTACATTAAAAACATTTCCATCTGCACTTGTGATGGCCCTTTATATAAAGCAAAGTTGTCAATTTTTCCCTATTATCTACTGTCTTCCAAGAATGTGCACCTATTTCAGAAAATATAGATATCCCTTTTATTCCTATCTCAGGTTTGCTCATTCAAGGAGGCAGCTGTTACAAAGAATAATTCCTGCAGGCTTACGAAAGCTGATTGGCACCTCTCCTATATAACATGGTTTAAATTCCCATCTATGAAATAATTCCTGAAAATGAGCCAGTCCTTTGTGTGTAACAAGCCTGACACACTAACCATTAACAACCTGACCGAAGATTGGCAAACATGATTGTTAAATAAGAAATACCTTGAAGTACCCAGATTGCAGGTCAAGGACACACAATATTTTGTGGACATCTGTGAGCCTGAATATCTGGCTAAAAGATTGCAATCCAACTTGCTTCCTACGGGCAGCATGTAGATCATATTCCCAGGTTGGTTTGTAAAGAGCTTGTGAACACAATGTTTTGTAACATCCTATCATAGCACCTCTTCTTAACACTTTTCCCTCAGCAAACCTTTCAAAATATGGCTGGAAACCATTAAAAGATTCCTCTTTTTCAAGACTGCAGACAGGTTATCTACCTCTGGACAGGCTGCCTTTAATATCAAGTGCTATACATGAGTTTCCTCTGGCAGAGAAAGCTCATTTCAGGTATTCATTAAGATAGTTTTTTTGATAGTTGATGATTCCTGGATTTGAAAATAGTATTGTTATCCACATTTTAAAAGTTCTGCTATTTCTGTTCACATTTTGTACTAACCTCTGGGTGCAAATTCTCTGGAGCATCAATTTTTGTGAAAATAATAGCAGGAGCTGCAGTTATTCGAACTGTGAAATCTGTTAAAATTGGAGTTAAAATTGCTCTCCTTTCCTGATGCCGCCTTATGCTAGGAAAACAAAAAAACAAAATAGATTAAATCACATTATAAATTGTTCAGGGATCAAAACTTCTCATATTCTTCCACACATACAGCACACAGTACCAGTTTGACTTTTTGGTTTCTACCTCAAAAAAATTTTTTTTTAATATAACCATTATATATCACATTAGTTCCAGTCCTGAAGGCAGAATGCACCTTTGTTTAATGATCAAAATACATCTAAATATTTGAATTTTCAAGTTATACCCTTCCAGATAATTGTTGCAGTTGGCTTTGTTTTTCTGTTGTTAACCTATACAGAATCATTCGAATAAAGATACAAGCTTTACAATCGGTATTTTTCGAATGTGTTAATGGATACTCTTTATAAATAACTGTTGTCTCTAATATTTGAATTTGTGCATTGAAGCCCTGTGGAGAGAAAAATGCAATTGCTCCTCATAATAACATAACTAAGACAAAACCAAAGATATGTAAAATTTAACAAGCTGATCCTACATAACTAGCTAATCCTAGCGATCACATATTATACTTTTTACAATTTCTGTTCAAAAATGTTAAAACTGCCCTCAAAACGGAGAGCTGTCAGCTTTCTTCCACTGCTTCTCTTTTTTCTTAGTTAGAATCTTTTAGTCTAAAATCAAGGTTTGGTTGCCAAGAACATTTCCACCAGAAAACTTGATTTGTATGTGTCCTTTTTAAAAAAAGCAAATACCATGCCCAGAGGCACAACCCTGTTATGTATGGACCACTAACAGCTTATGACAATACATTCTAACCAGCCAGACTCTTGTGGGTCAGGTCAAATAAAATATTGCCACAGAATCCCATCTGAGAACACCTGATCAGGAAAAAAATAAATAAATGAAATCAAGATGGTGCTTAGATCCCAAAAGAGGATACAGGTCGCTGATCAGGAAAAAAATAAATAAATGAATGAAATCAAGATGGTGCTTAGACCCCAAAAGAGGATACAGTTCAAATTTCTGGGAGACCCCTTCCTTAAAGAGAGATTTTTGATAATTGTATCTACCTATCATTCTTTATAGGTATGCTAAATTCCTGTGTGCTACCACAGGTGACTCTAAAAACAATCAAGAAGTTATTGGTCCTAGGTAAGCTACAGGAAAATACCAAATTCCCTATAAGAATGAAGTTTTTTGAAGCAATAAAAGTCAAAATTATAAACAAATGATGCAAACACCTCCAACAACAGAGAAGACTGAACCGCACCAGCCAGGGAAAAAGAAGACACCCATCCTGAATTATCCATGTGAGTGTCATGAAACGATATGGTCAGATGCCTCCTCATGCAGAAAGCTCCTAATTGCAAACAGAGTGAGTGACTTCATCTCTTCATTAAGGACAAACACACGCACTCAGGTATTGTTAATGTTTTTGAAATAGATTCAGTTTAAAAGCACACAATCTCATGTGCTGATGGTTTATAGGCTTAGAGTCAGGCAGAAGAGAAATTAAATAAACATCATGATTTTTACTGGCTCTAACTCTGGCTAAGATACACTTCTACTAGTACCAAAACCGATAGATGAGAGTTTACTCCCTAGACTACTCTGGCACTGATGCCTCAAATCTTCCTACCAATTAGCTAGAGTGTCTTCATAAAGTGCAGGAAGAATGGCAAAGTGTAAGGGAGCAGATGTGGGTAGGCCTGAAGGTTTTTAAGTGTATTTAGGACAGCTTTAGCTCTACTCAAAGGTTAACTAGCGGGTGCTACAGAGCACAGAGCTGGTGTTCCCAGAGCACAGGTGTAACTAACTTTTGCTTCAAACGACCTTCACAATTACTGCCCAGGGGGCTGGGCATGGTTCTTAAGGACAAATCAATCAGTGACTGTGAGAAATAACCAGCTGACAGAAAAAGTTCTAATATTTGGCCAGCTGTGGCTCTGCTGGTGTGCAATAACAGTTTCTGAAGCCAGATTAGTCTAATTAGGCACCAAAATTAGAAAGCAGATTGGGTATTGGTTAGAGTACTTAACTCAGAAACTGGTCTTAGATTTTGCCAACTCTGGAAATGTTTCTCTCTGCCATCACCTTAGTGTTAAATATAAACCAGATGGCTTTTTTTTTTCTTTTTTGTTTCCAGATTCTATTTCCCCTTTACAATAGGAAGAGAAAGAAATGCCTTTGTTTTTGTGGAAAATGAAAGCGCAAAGTAGTAGAACAGTTCTGGGAGAGGGCACGCAGCTATATGTTAGATAACTTCCACTTGAGGTGACAAAAATCTAGTAAGCGTGATTTTAATATATGAAACAAAACTACAACAACAAGTCATTTCATGAACAGAAAACAACTTGCCCTTCATTCAAATTATTTTTCAGCTCCTAAATATTCCCATTTCTTAATTTTCAAATATTGTTTTAGTCCAGCACATTGCATTTTAGAGGATTTTTTGGTAACACACATTGATTGCTTTTCTTATGTTTTCTCTTTTTTAAAATCATCCTTATGTGGTATCTCTGTTCTACCCTCCTTACTAGTTTCTGAATTTCTAGTCGGCGAATGTGAAGTTCAGGCAAATTAAGTATTAGCAAAATAACTGTAAGTACAAACAGAAGGCAAACAGAGCCCAGTAAATAACGAGGGGAGAGGATATGAGAACGCGCACAAAAGGAACAAAGCAACAAATTCCACTTTGAATTATTAAATCTTCCACACTGCACCTAAGTGCACCGTTAACTTAACACAGGTGTAGACCACATGAGCTTATGAAAAAACTTGATTGTGAAGAGCGTAATGATGGCTCTGTGTCTGCAGCACATTCATTCACTCATTCCATGGTTCATTTATGCATCTGTTATATATTTGTCTCGAAAAAAAAAAGGAAAAGCTAGTATTTTAGAGATGTTAAAGCAGTTGATCATCTACACTTTAAAAGTAGAGCACATTTGAAAGACCATATGCTAACACAAAGCAACAAGGCAGCAAACCAGTTGTGATCAGGGTTGCAGGAGCCTTTTACCGAGCGCTGAATTAGGGCTGTATCTGAATGGTAACGTGAACACTGCTTACAAAGCACTGAACCACAGCGCTGGGCACTGTAAAAGCGTGGGACAAAAATGTTCTCTGTCCTCCAAAAATGCAATTTAACTATAGGAAACTATATGAGCTCCAAGAAAACTAGAGGAAAAAGCAGACTAGCAGACAGGGAAGTAAAAGGGAACGCCTAACAGCCCTGGAAGTAATGATAGCAGTACAGTGGCAACCTGAAGGCTGTCTTATGAGTTTTTGCATTAAAGCATAATAAAAACGAATTATTTGGAAGGCTTTGGAAGAAGGCATTGCAATAACTGAGAACATGCCCCAGAAATGCCTTTAAAACATGTAGGATAACCTGAGAGTGAGCAAGAGAGGGCTTCTTTGAAAATTAAATGTGCCCGCCTGCTACGTGGCAGGAGGAGGCTCCATGCAGGCGAGCGCAGAGCACACAGAGAAGGCCAGACACCTGCAAGGAAACAGACGGACACCGAAGCCTGCGGGTATTTTAAAAGCCAAGGCCCATGGAATGATTAATCTGCCTGAAAATGCTGCGGGGAGAAGAGAGAAGGGAAAATAAAAACAACAACAACTTGAGCAACAGGGATTTTCAAAACAAAACAGTAACGTTTGATTACATCAACTCAAATCCCTGGCATTTGATTACATGCACTCAGAAGCATTTTGAATTCATATGAGGAAAAAAGGTTGCCGAAGAGATGATGTTGCACTAATCAAGGAGGTGTGATGATGTGTGAGATTAGATAACCACAAAAATGCACATAGAGGACTATTATGTCAGCCCTCTTATCTGGAAAAAAATGTCAAAACAAGCAAACACACAAACCCGTCCAGAAAAAGCAGAACATCACCTTGATGGGAAACCTCCATGGGAAACCTCCATGTGAAACTTAATCTGTGTTTAATGTAGTCTCAGTTTTTGTTGTGACACCTTACAAAACATACAGTTTGAATCTTTTGATATTTAAATATGGGTCCGAATAAAGCTTGCATTCAGTCGATGCATGAGTGCCAACCAGGAGCTTTGTCTCGGCACGTTCCTCTTGTAGCCTCGGCTGTCCCGCGCAGCCGCGCGCACAAAGCCACGGGTGCTGTGTGAGATAACGGGGCCGCTTAGCCCTGACCAAAGACTTTTCCCTAGCAGGAGAGCCCTGATCCAGCAGCGCACGGGGACGTGCAGCCGCTAAGGAGACCTGGGGCAGCCAGCCTGGCTGTGCCCCTGGCTGTGCCCCCGGCCCCGGCGCAGCGGGCAGAGCCTTCCACCACGCTGAGGTTCTGCAAACCTACACCATGGGAGAGCAACGAAAACCACGTTGAGATCCAACTGCCTCGATCAAAACAACGGACAAATGCACAGCATCTGGCCATACGAGATGACTATTGTTGAACAATTATGCCTCAGTAAAATTAATTTTCAACTTATTAACATTGCTTTGCAACATTTCTTTGCTGTGGAGTAATAAAAAAAAACCTTCTAGTTTATTGGCGTAAGGCTTTGTACAGTATGAATACAAGAATGACTGAAGGTACCATAAAACAACGACTGAAAGCACATGTA